CTCAGAAAAAATTAAAATATATACACCTTTTTAATATTTGAAAATATATTGTCTTTTAATTTTTATTAAAAAATAATAAAGGATGTGTTTACAAAATCACAGAAATAATTACATAATTAAAGGGTTTTAAAATGACAAATAAGGCTCCAGCAGATTGCGAGGCCCTAAGCTGTAGCTTATTTAGCTTATGCGTGAATCCGGCCCTGGGCCTTCCTTCAAAGCAGCCATTTTCTCCAGGAGAGTTGATCTCTGTCAGCTGGAGATCTCCAGGCCCTACCTAGAGGCTGGCAACCCTAGCCATAGGGCAACTGGGGCAGCTGCCCTGCTCTGGGGGGGGCACATCCTGGAGGGCCTCCAGCTGCCCAGCTGCCATAATGCTGCCGCTGCCAGCCTCTCAGCCATCTCTGAAGTCACACTGGGCAGTAGAAGCTTCAGGGCAGAAGCTGGGGCAATCAGCCTTAGAGTGGTAGGGAGACCACACTGTCACCACCACCACCACTGAAGCTGGTTACTGATGACCCCTACCCTGAAATGGCCCCACCCCTGCCCCCAGTGATTGAGGCAGACTGGGAGGCAAATGTGGTGTGTGGGGTTAAGGGTATCAACTTTTGCCCACCCCATCTGGCGCTTCATCAGCTGGCTTGCAACGGCAGTGAGGGTCATCCTTTTATTGGGACTGAGGTGGCTCTGACTTGGAGATGGCAGTGATTCTGGGTGTCTGTCCTGGACTTTTGCCAAAGGCCCTAGAGTTGCTCTCTCTGACGCCAGGTAGATTGGTAGTATTTTTAAGGGCAACAAACAAACAAATGAAAAACTTTGTGTTTTCATGTCTCAGTTTAAAAATAAGCTCCCCCCCTCCCCCAATAACAACTGTTCCTTTGGAAATGAAATGCACCAGAGTACTGCAGTGGAACACTTGCAAGTACACCTGAAGCTTCTTTTTGCCTTCATGTGTACAGCAGTTTGCTGTCTCAGAAGTGATTCAGCTGAGTAAGTTCAGAAGAGGGGACTGTTGTGTGCAATTCATTGGTTTAAGAATGCATTTATGATGAGGATGTAAGAGAATTACAACACTTTAAAAACAGTAGAGAGTTGCAAAACTTCCAGGAAAAAAATAGAAAAAGGGCTTCTAGATTCCAACATAAATTATGTACTTCTTATGAAACAGTTGTATTATATAATGTTCAATAAAGACTATACTTATTTTTCTAATCCTGTTTCTTGTAGTGTGCTTTGCTTTTCATTTTGTGCTTATTTTACATGTGGCTCATCAACTTTCAGAGTGTGGTTTCTCTCTAAAAAGAAGCTTAATCCTTGCTGAGGGCTTTGGTGGGTTTTTTTGGGGGGGGTATACTGAGGCTAAGATTTTTATTTACTGTATCTTCAAGCCTTGGTGTTCCAACAGGGATCAGATTACTTTCGTCAGTAGTTAAGTGAATGCAGAGAATCTCTCAGTGGGTGCAAAATGAAGTGCTGGTGCTCAAAAAAAAAAAAGGTTCAGATGTGTTTTTGAGTGTGGTGCTTCCATGGTCCTATGCCATTGTTTTGTGTGCAAAGCCAATGAGCCAATATATGACATGAAAGCTGAATTATTCCAGCTCTCTTGTTAACTTGCTTATACTGATTCCTTTTCAGTTATAACTGGCACAGCCAACCATACCTATTTTTCCCACCTGAAGAACAGGCATAGGTGTAAAGTACAGATCTGTTTACAAGTCTTTGACTATATTTGGAAGCTTTTTTGTTGATGACTCTTGTACAAATGATACAATAGCTGAGGTGTATTGTTTATGATGAGATACATTTGGGGGTCCTGAAGAAAAACAAAACATATTTATTTTGTATTTATTAATATATTTCATTCCCATATTTCTGTCCCACTTGGGATGGTTCACAACATTAGCTGAACAAAATAGATAGCTACATTAAAAACTAATAACCAGCTTCACAACAGATCAAGTACCACACTATATCCTCTACAAGCATAAGCCATAGTAAGAAATTTATGTCTTTCAAAGGCCTATCTAAATAATACTGCCTAATATTGGGCTTAACATAAGAACCTAAGAGAAACCAGTTTGGAGCAGGCCAGTGGCCTATCCAGTCCAACACTCTGTCACACAGTGGCCAAAAATACCAGGTGCCATCAGGCGGTCCACCAGTGGGGCCAGGACACTAGAAGCCATTCCACTTTTGCACCCCCCCCCAAAGCACCAAGAATACAGAGCATCGCTTGCCCCAGACTGAGAGTTCCTATCTATATCTTGTGGCTAATAGCCACTGATGGACCTCTGTTCCATATGTTTACCCAGTTCCCTCTTGAAGCTGTTTATGCTTGTAGACTCTGCCACCTCCTCTGGCAGTGAATTAGATGTGTTAATCGCTCTTTGGGTGAAAAAGTACTTCCTTTTATCTCTTCTAACCCTTTTCTCTGCATGACTTACTCCTGATTTTCTTGGGAGTCAATCCACAAGCATCGGAATTGGTTTGGGAACAGTTGTCCCACATGTCTGCCCTCCCTGTGTATCTTCACAGTTTATTTATGGGCTCAGTTTATTTTCATATCAAATCAAATTTCAAATCAAATGGCATATCAATAAAACACATTGTGTCAGGCTTCCAGTCAAGACACTCAACAATGTTCCTTCAGAAGTTTCAGTTTATTGAGGACTAGTACTTAGGATACCATGAGCTCTTGTGTCAGGAATAGTGGGCAAATGAATTGAAACTACAGATATACCCCATTCATACATGACCCCCTGATACAATAAAGCCAATAGGCAAGCACCTGAGAACGCGGGCAAAAAGCAACGGTTATGTTCCCAGTGTGAAGCAGGGAGCTAGCCGAGTAAAGCCTTCAAGGACAGCAGACAGATA